GAGGGTGGGGCCACCCAGCCTGTTCCAGGAGGCGGGGCTTAAGGGGAGGGGACGGATACAGTCAAGTCTCCAAGACCTTTAGCAGCCTATATCACACTGAGAATAAGTCATAAAAGAAGGAAGGAAGACTGAGGAGGCAAAAGACAAAAAAGTGGAAATTACAGTTTTCCTAGAAAATTTCCAGTCAACTCTCTTAACTGAAAAAAAGAAAAAAAAGTGACAAGTAGAAAGAGGCACTTTGCATTAAAAAAATCAAACGCTTCTCCATATCTTTTCTCCTATATGTTCCACCACTGACAGTTAATTTGATATATCAACTCAGCTAAGCTATGGGGCCCAGCTGTTTGGTCAAAAACTACTTGAGATAATGTTGTGAGGGTATTTTGTAGACGTAATTAACATTTACAATCAACTGACTTCCAATGAAGAAAATTATCCCCAACAATATGGGTGGGCCTCATTTGATCCGTTGAGGGCCATACAAGCAAAAACTGAGATTTCCTGAAGAAAGAAGTCTGCCTCAAGATTGTAACATGGAAATCCTTCCTGTTTCCAGCTTGCTGGTTGGCCCTATGAACTTAGGACTCAAGACTACAACATCAGCTCTTACATAGATTGCCAGTCTGCCCTACAGATTTCAGAATTGCCAGCCCCCATAATCATATGAGCCAAGTCTTTGAAATGAATCTCTTGGGACTGTCTCTCTGGAGAGCACTGAAAATTTTGGGGTACCATGAAATGGAATGTTACTATAAAAAATACCTAAACATTTGGAAGTGGCTTTGGAATGGGTAGGCTCCCCTGGTGGCTCAGATGGTGACGATTCAGCCTGCAATGCAGGAGACCTGGGTTTCATACCTGGATTGGGAAGATCCCTTGGAGAAGAGAATGACAACCCACTCCAGTATTCTTGCTTGGAGAATCCCATGGGCAGAGGAGTCTGGCAGGATATAGCCCGTGGGGTCACAAAGAGTCAGACACGACAGGGTGGCTTTCACTTTTTTCACTTTTGGAATTGGGTAATGGATAGAGGCTAGAATAATTCTGAGGATCTTGACTGTAAAAGTTTAGATTGTCTTGACCAGAATATTATTGGAAATATGAATGTTGAAAATGTCTTTGCTGAGGCTTCAGATAGAAATAAAAAATCTTTTATTGGTCACCAACGGTCACCAAAGGAAAGATGATCCTGTGGCAGAGAACTTGTCTGAATTGTGTTCTTCTTTTGGGTGGAAAGTAAAAATTTTAAGTGATGAAACTGGACACAGCGCTGAAGTTGTCACTTCCAACCAACTGGGCAGCAAGGCCTGGCCACTGCCTGTCTTGGATAGTAAAATGGGATTAGACAAAAGTTGAAGCAGAAATTGTTAAGCAAGAAGGAACTAGAACTTATGATTGGAACAATCCTGAGCCTATCCAGATAGTGGGCTCTGGAAACTGTCCAGAACAACCATTTACTAAAGGGATTAGGTGCTTGACTCATGGATCCAATCAAGCAACTCATCAGAAGTCAGGGGCTGGAGATACAGGATCCCAGAAAAGATCTGTGGAGAACCCTCTAGTCTGATGGCTTAGACCCCATGAATTGCATGAGGCAGACCATGTTTTTAAAAATTTTTATAACAGCAGAAACGTTGTTCAAAGAGATAGGATGAAATCAAGCAAGAATGACTCAGGGAAGAACCACAGATGGCAATGCCTCAGCTAAGGGCCAGTTCAGTTCCAGAGGGTGGGGCCACCCAGCCTGTTCCAGGAGGCGGGGCTTAAGGGGAGGGGCCGCCCCGGCAGGTCTAGAGGACCCAGCATCAGACCACAGAGAACTGTTCACCAGTCTTAAAACCTCATGGAATGTGTCCAGCTAAGTTGAAAACCCGCTTTAGAGTTTGGACCAGCAGTTCTTTTTTCCTTCCAATTTTTCCCTTTATAAAGTGGAATGCCTATTCTATATCTGTCTAACTGTTGTATTTTGGAAACAAGAATACTTGTTTTCCATGCTTCAGCGGTCCACAGATGGAGAGGAATTTTTCTCTGGCTGGACTGTATGTCAAGCCTCACCCAAAACTGATTTAGATAAAATTGGTACTTAGAGTTGATACTGTAATGATTGACTTTAAGGATATTGGGATTGGGTGAACTTATTTTTAACATGGGAAGAACATGGGTTTTGGGAGTATCAAAAGGCAAACTGTTATGGATTAAACTGTGTCCCTCAAAAAAGATATGTTTAAGTCCTAATCTTCAAAACTTCAGAATATGACCTTATTTGGAAATAGGGCCAGTGTAGATGTTATTTTTAAGATAAGATCATACTAAAGTATGTGTGCATGCAGTGTATGTGTCTGTGCTAAGTCACTTCAGTTTTGTTCGACTCTTTGTGACCCTATGGACAATAGACTGCCAGGCTTCTCTGTCCACGGGATTCTCTAAGCAAGAATACCAAAATGGGTTGCCATTTCCTACTCTAATGGATGTTCCTGACCCAGGGATTGAACCCGTGTCTCTTGCGTCTCCTGCACACTGAAGTATAATGGACTTCTAATTCAATATGACACATGTCCTTATAAGAAGATGGCCACATGAAGACAAACACAAGAACGCCATAGGAACATGGATGCGTAAATTGGATATGCTGTCACACCTGCGTCTCTCAGAAGGTGGGAGAGGAAATGAAGGATCCTCTTCCACAAGATTCCAAGAAAGCCTTGCCAACGCTTTATTTCAGACTTATTTCCAGAACTGAGGGAGAATACATTTCTGTATTTCAAGCCACCTAGTTTGAACTGAAGGCTTAGGAAGTGCTCAATAAGGATTTAGAATCTACTTTTATATAAGTTCACATGGTTCTCAAATGAAACAAGTGATGGAAGCCCTATGCTTCCTTATGGAAGCCCTAAGCTATAACCTCCATTTATAGCTTACTTCACAGAGGCTCTTACAAGTTATGTGATTTGCCCATGATGGGCAAAGCAAGTTAACTGTGTTGCAGGGATTTTAAGCAAAGTTTTCCAACACCTACATCCTTTATGGAATTGAAAGCATCGATGCTCTATTTTCCTCCCTAGATAGATCTTATGTGTCTGTATGCATGTGTGCATGTGTGTTTGTATACACTTGTGTGTTAATATTTATGGGTAACTGTCAAAGGACCTTGGTGACCTTTTCAGCAATTCCTCGAGTAGATCTGGTAATGAGCTAAAGGAACAGAGACAAACTTTTTGATGGTACTTTGATTTGCATACTCTCAGTAGAAAAGTGAGAAGTAGGTAAATATCCAATGGACACAGTAAATTAAGACTAGTGTCTACATATTAATAAGTGCGAGCCAAGTTCTGAATATATTTTATTATTATAAAAGATGAATTGAAAAATGTGCTAAGAACTCAAACTTTGGTTTTTTGATCATCATAATAAAAAAATTGCTTTATATTTAGACTGTGTGCAAATTGTTTCAAACTTTAAATGAAGGTGCCTCATATATATCTGCATATGCTGATTTTACTCATATTTAGTATTTCCTTAATTAGTGAAACTTCAGCCAACCAAATATTTAACTTACAAATTATGAACCTGTCAGAATGGCTTTAGTGTGTATCAAAAGGAGAAGTTACAAAACTCTTTCCTCTAACCTTGAGAACATAAACATACCTAAGCAAATCCATATACAGACACAGATTATATAAGTTATAATAAATTGATAACAAAATTTTCAGCGACACGTGGTGAATCTGGAAAATATCACTGCACAACTACACCTTAAATGCCAGTATTTATTTAGCTCTTCCTCCAAATGGAAATGTATTGAAGACTAAAAATGATTTCCTTTTCAAAAACAACATGAACACTGACTAAGAAATCATTAACTCTACATGTCACCCAGTAAATAGAGTTTTTGTTACCAGTCCCAAAACTTTCAATAGCTGTTTTACTTTCCTTTTCTGGATCCAGTTTCTCATATATAAACTGCGATGGTTCTTCAAGGTTTCTGTGAGTTCCCAATTTCAATAGCAAAATCATTTATCACTGTCTGACATTTAACTTCAGTTCAAGAGAAATATAAATAGAAAACTGCATAAGTAGTACCACGATTACACTTAGCTTTTGATGTTTACTTGTCTTTATCATGTGAACCTAAATACAACCAAAACAAGTTTTTTTGGCCTTGGGCATTTGCTGAATAAAGGTAACAACGGCCAGACACTTTATAAAGAACAGAAAATACATTCATCTGAGTTACGGCTCCAGTGGCTTAAGTAATGTATCTGTTTATGTTGAGAACTCAGTACAGAATATGATTACACTGTAAATGTATAGAGTAGATATTTTTATTTTTAGAAACCAGCCTTAAAACTATAAAATTAAGTCAATGTCTTTAATTACATATAAATATACAGAAGCATCACACACAATAACTTTATATGTTTCCACAATATAGTTCCAAACATTTTGGGAAAAAATTACCTAAGCCCGATAATAAAACCCAATTCATTTTTACAGTTTTATAGCAAAGTACACATAGATGTTTATAAACATTATGATTTAGAATAAGAAAAACAAGATTACTTCCAATATTGTTATCTAATATCAAGTAAAAATGAAATTTTACTATTTAAAGATTCAGAGTAGCCTTCAAAATTCCAATGTTAAGTAAAGTTTAAAAATTTCTTAACTAATGACAACTTGGCTGACTATATAATGTACTGTATTAGCTAAGTATGATTAATACATCTTTCAGCCAAGAGGTTTAAGAATGACAACAGTTCATTTCATAAAAACATTTAAAAAATCTATTTACATAATACAAGCATAGAATAATACTTCATTACCCTTAACCCAGTACCACTCAAAAGTAAAATCTTTTTGTATTAGCCAACAATTGCAGACTTTCTCATTCCTTTCATTAAATTTAGAACATGAAATCAGTTGATATTAAAGGAATAAAAAATGTCTATTATCTAAAGTATAGCTTAACATGGGTACAAGCTATATACTTTAAAAGTTACCTGAATAGACAGAGAACACGAGTGTGCTATTTCTCAGGGCTCAGAGATGAGAACCGAGGCAACTGATCATTAACTTTTAGCTGGAAGCAAACTTGCATACGTATCTCAAGAGACTCTCTACTCTGCCCTCCCACTCTTGCTTCTCTCAAATCAGGGAAAAGGTAGCACTGTCTCTTCTTGAAGGACTTGCTTTGATATGCATCATTAGTTCATACTTTTTACAGTGTAAAGTTAACTTGGCTTAAATTATACCCTGAGTCAAAGAAGGTAACCAAGTTTGGCAATTTAAATTGCTAAATTTAACCTTCTGATTCTCTTTGTCTGCTGCTGCTACGACCACATTTTCAAGTATATGGACCACTGTGTGATTTAACATCATGAATAGAACATACGGCAAAACTAATGTAATATATAAATTAAAATGTCCGTGAATCTTCACCTGGTATACTACTACTCAATCAGTTATGAACAATAATAAAGAGGCCAGGGCCATGTGTTAGACCCCTTGAGAGGCAGACGGTTTCATTTTGTTGCCTAATCACACACTACACGGCTTACTTGGCCAGCCATTCTGTAAACGCCTGCCCTCTGTCACAAAGGGTCCTCCCCTAAGAGTGCAGTGGGGTACCTGATGGTAAGTCTTTGAATTTAAGAACTTACAGTAAGCTTTATAGTAACGAAGAGCTATCATTTTCCCACATTCTAGGTAGGTCATTTTACCAAACAATTGGCATCCATGACCTCATTCTCTGGACCCTATAAGGCAGACTATTAAGATACATGTTTAAAGCACGAGGACGCAGAGGTTCAGATTTGGTTCCTTAGGTCAGATGGCTAGTAAATATCGGGTCCTAGATTCCAATTCTGGTTATTCTTGTTATTTGGAGCCAAGGTCCACATTTTCCTCCACTGAATGGCAAGTCAGCCTTTCTATGGTTAGTAGATGAGAATTTGATTTCCCTTATGAAAGATGCCATTATTTAGACTTAGGCAATAGCAACGACTTGTAAAATACGATCCCCAAGGATATTAAGAGGCTGCGTTTCTAAATGTACATATATAATGGTTTCAATAACCGGAAAGTTACATAGATAATCTCTGGACATTTCTTCTAATTTTTTTAACTAAATGATGCAAATGCCTTTACAAAATAAGACAGTTGGTATTTTTCTGTCTTCTATTAAAATCTTAGGTTTAAAAAAATGAAACACTAAATGAAGCAATATGGATTTCACAATTATGTAGTACTTACAGAAATCAAAAGCAGATGACATCTTTACCAAGAACTCTTCAAATACCTTTGTCCCAACACAGAAAAGTGCTTAATAGGTAGTAAGTGTTCAATACACTTATTTAGGGTAAAATTACCTGCTGTAACATAGGTTATTAATCAATTAATAATAACTGCATTATGTACTCTGTAGACATACTTCAAGTAATATTTTTTCCAGATGCAGAAGAATAAAATTTCAATAGTTATTAACTTTATCAATTACTTTTATATAATACCAAATGACAAGACCCAATTCTATGCAAATGAATAATTATTAACTTTATTAAGCAAACATACCATTAATTATACCAAGAATGCTAAATTTAAAAAGGTCTCATGTGTGATTAATATTTTTACTTAGTATTATTATAAAATGTTCTAAAGTTAAATAAAAAATAAGTACAAAAATATATGTTTAATATATAAATATTATGCTATCAAGAGAATAACTCTATAACATAAGAGCTATAAAAATTAGAATTGGCAGAAATATGAACAATACATTTTGTACTTATTTTGTATGACTCTGCTTATTGTTACAACAACATTAAATCCTTAAAAAATTATTATCTGAGTAATACAGACAGTCGTGTTTATTACATAAACCTTTGAGAAAAGAAAAGCCAAATGCAAAACAGACTTGTTCACCAAGCGCCCGGCGGAGAAAATGGCTGAAGGTGACTAACCTTTGCCAAGGTTATAAATTCTCAAGAGTAATTCCAAAAATGTGGTAGAGTGAGTTTTTTTTTTTTTTTTTTTCCCCAGTTTCCAGAATTCTTCAATAATTCAGGGACAAGACAGTGAAAGAGAGAAAATAGCCTCAGGGGAAAATCTTGGTAAATAGCATGTGTGCAATTGGAACAGGTTATTAATTCTGCATTTGAAACATGACAATGGGTTCTTGGCCATGAGTTTGTTTATAACATTATTCCCAAGTTCCATGCAGGATTCGCATATTTCCCTTGCGAGATTTTGATGTTTTCTACATTATGACTAAGGAGTAAAACCTGAGCTAAAAGGGAAGACGCGTTTTTCATCTGCATAAAAAATGTAAGAAATTCTGCAAAGCCGAAAGCTCAGTAACAGATACTTGGGTGAGGAAAAGCAGTGAACTAGTCAAAAGGCTGATCAAATACTTCACAAACACAATGGAAATCTTCTAATGGGTTGCTTTTCCCATTTGGTGGTGGTTGTTGTTTTTCCTATTCTTTTCCTGGAAAGAGTACTATACTCTTAACATTCATTAAGCATAATTGTGATCTCATTATTTTCAGAATTCTAGAATTGTAATGGAGTTTGAAATCAGCATGTACTAGAAGATAACAACCCAAATTTATTCCCTGAGTTAATTATCCCTCAGAGTTATAATGTAAAAGGAAATCTCTTTTTAACTTTGATAAGCATAGAAGGAAAAAAGTCCTCAGTTAAATTTTCTTGCATAAGTTAATTCTTCCAAACTTTTAAAGTACCACAGGAAAATATAATGGGAGCAAAGGGGTCCTAAACTCAAAATACAGAGGTATTCTGCCATTTCAACAGATTTCCTCTTTTGCTGATGACAGCAGCCCAATAATATTACAGCAGAACTATTGGAAACATGATTTGAGTATAGGGAACATTTAAGATACTTCCTTCTTTGACAGTTATTCAGTTAATAGATCTTATTGTATTCAGCCAATATAGGAAACACATTCAGAGAGAGAACTTCTGACTCAGAACTTCTAGCTCAGAACTTCTGACTCCTCTTAGCTCCCCACCATCACCCTCAGCATGCACGTGGTTTCATAGCTTTCTAGTAAATGCAGCAGCCTCTGCCAGAGACTCAGCTCAAAGTCAAAGTCAGCAATCCTGTCTCCCCTTCTCTACAATCACATCGAATTACCAGTCCTGGTAGAGTCTACTCCCACAAGGACTCAAATACATCTCCTTCCCTTCTTCCCCATAGGCACAATTTTATTTCAATAAAGTTGATAGCTTTCCAGTTGTTATACCAGCATCCACTTTCTCTATTTGAGTAAAGCCTCAGTACTTCAGTATCTTTGCCTAAACTGGTCAGTTAATAGAAGCTCAGACCATGGCATAGTGATCAATAACTCCTCACTGCTGCTTTCCTAGACTCATACCCCAAAGCCATCTGTGGACACACACACACACACATACACACACACGTATACCTTGGCATATGTCACAAGATGGGTTTTCCCAAGTGGCATTAGTGGTAAAGAACCCACCTGCCAATGCAGGAAACTAAAGAGATGCGGGTTTGATCCCTGCATCTGGAAGATCCCTTGGAGGAGGGCATGGCAACCCACTCCAGTATTTTTGCCTGGAGAATTCCATGGATACAGGAGCCTAGCAGGCTACAGTCCACAGGGTCACAAAGAGATGGAGACGACTGAAGCGACTTAGCGCGTGTTATAAGATAATACGATCATTTGTACTTTCCATCTACTACTATAATCAATAATACTAACATTGGAGCTTTAATGCTAATGTTAGTTTTAATGGACTTTTCACTGCTGTTAGTAACATAGAAGCCATCATTTCTCTTGTTTTTTAAAGAAATGCTACAAAGGCATTAGACATTAATATGCTGCTACTGCTGCTGCTAAGTCGCTTCAGTCGTGTCCGACTCTGTGCGACCCCGTAGACGGCAGCCTACCAGGCTCCCCCGTCCCTGGGATTCTCCAGGCAAGAACACTGGAGTGGGCTGCCATTTCCTTCTCCAATGCATGAAAGTGAAAAGTGAAAGTGAAGTCGCTCAGTCGTGTCTGATTCTTCGAGACCCCATGGACTGCAGCCCACCAAGGCTCCTCCGTCCGTGGGATTTTCCAGGCAAGAGGACTGGAGTGGGGTGCCATTGCCTTCCCCAGACGTTAATATGAGATGTGAGTAAATAGAGCTCGAGGCAACAATACATCTAGTGGTCCAGTCACATCGTACCAGGTATGAGATTCTTCTACACCTCAAAATGAATTTCTATCTTTATTAAAAATTAACAAAAACCTTGAAACGTTTTAAATTAAAGTATAAAATCTTCAAATGCTGATGCCATGAAATATAAATTTTAAAAGTATAGTGGCTATTATCAAAAAGACCCGAGATAACAAATGCTGGTGAGGATGCGGGAAAAGGGGGCCCCGGTGCACTGTTGGTAGCGCTACAAATCGCTGCAGCCCCGTGGAAAATCGTATGGAGGCTGCTCAGAAAATGAAAAGTGGACCTGCTGTATGATCCAGCAGTTCTACTTCTGGGGATATAACCAAAGAAGGCTTACTAATATCCGGGAGGGATATTTGCACTGCTGAGGTCACTGCAGTGCCCGTCACACTAACTGAGATATAGAAACGACCTAAGTGCCCACCACAAACGAATGCATAAAGAAAGTGTGCCCCACACACGTGCAAATGTGCATGCACACACACACACACCACACAAGGTGTGTATATATATATATATACCGGAATATTATTTAGCCATAAAAAAGACAAAAATTCTGCCTTTTGGGGCAACATGGATAGACCTTGAGGCTGTTATGCTAAGTTAAATAACTTAGAAAGACAAATATGGTGTGATCTCACTTATATGTGGAACTGAACTAATAGAAACAGAGAAGAGAGTGGCAGTTGCCAGGGCCTAAGGAGTGGGGGAAATGGGGAGATGCTGGTCAGAGAGTACAAAGATTCAGTTCTAAGCTGAGTAAGTTCTGAGGGCCTACACTACGGCATGGTGACTGTAGTTAAGAATATCATATTGTACATTTGAAAGTTGCTAGGAAGAGTACGGCATTACTGTTCCCACCATAACAACACCAAAATGATAATTATGGGAGGTGACGTTCACTAACCTTATTGTAACAATAGCTTCGTAATATATATGCGTATCAAATACCCAGGTGCTGCTAGTGGTAAAGAACCCGCCTGCCAGTGCATGAGACATAAGAGGTGCAGGTGTGATCCCTGAGTTGGGAAGACCCCCTGGAGAAGGAAATGGCAGATTTCATGGACAGAGGAGCCTGGTTAGGCTACAGTCCATGGGGTCACAAAGAGTCGGACACGACTGAAGTGTCCGTATGCACGCATGCACACCTTAAACTTAGATAATGTGATGTGTCATCTAGCACATCTCAGTAGAGGTAGAAAAAAAAAACGTAACGAGGCAGAGAGATGAAGCAGACACCTCGATCTGGAAAGGGATAGGTTTAGCTCAGTCCCCTAATGCCCCTACCCCAGGCTGTTGAGGGCTGTGGTAGGCAGGGAGCCAGCAGCCTG